ATTTCCGTGCCGCCATTTAAGGGTAGGGTCAAATGCGTGGGACGATTAGCCGAAACTGTGAAGTGCATCACTGTTAAGGGATCTCATTGTATAGGTGGGCCTATTTCAAGCCGACGTGTCCTTTACCGAGGATAGGCATAGATTTAATGTGTCTCCTAAGCACGCCGAGAAAGGCGTCTTTGTTCCTCGTGATGTATGTAAGCTATGAAGGCACCCTGCCTAGTAACATCGTCGAATAAAACGGACGCATAGTTACAACGAATAGATTTTCAGTTTCGGCCGGCGGTCGGTATACGTATATAGCCGGCCGCTTAATAGCCAGTCGTCAGCAGTCGAGTTTCGTCTGCTCGAACTTGCAGTAATGACAACATGCAATGCGTGCTGCATATTTACATTATAGAAATATATGCAGACGAATATATGTGTACTGTATTCAGTCATCATCCAGTTATCAATAGGTTACTCTCGTTATCTTTAACCTGCACACATCTTTGATTAAAAATATGCACGATCTAGCCATCAACACTAGTTAAGCCATTTTATGGCAAAGGACCTGTTGACGCTGTAGCTGGCAATTTTATATAATAAACTCAATAAAACCTATATCGGCAATACATTTGATAACTTTCAATAGGAAATGCGACTTATGGCCATGTCATAATAATTGTACGAGCGTAAACGTGTTAGTTAAGTCTAACGCAAGTTAACCACAAGTAGTATCCGCTGTCATGAAAACACCCGGTAAGTAGGAAACTTATTTTAGTTATCTGCTGGCTTTTAAAAGAAAGCCGACTTTCATTATTTGTACATGCCAGATACATCAGCAATGCAAGATGGAGGTCGGAGGACCTAAGCAACGTTTTATTCGAGCAGCAATGAGGCATTTAGAAAAACCATCAAGTAGAGCGCTAGGCTTAACTAATACGCACACCGTGTATATTTTTCTGTTGTCTCCCCGCAATATCAACCTAGAAATCGCTTTAGAATCGAAGAATGTATGTCCGAGTGAAAGTGCTACCTTTTCTGTCTGGTATACGACCTTTGTAATTTACCGTCTAGGTCCTGATTTTCCGCCATAAAATTATATGCTATATCCCTAGCTTTTGCATTTATATTTCTAGCGCTGGCTAGACTATTCGGACTATTGTTTCCTGCCTTTCCATGCGTCAGCGATTTCATGTTCTCGCATTTTTTTGAGTCGGCTTGGCAGAATTCAGCCCGAGGTAGCACGAACCCACTCTGCTCTTAGTCAATCCGCTTCTTTTAATGGGTCGCTAATATATTCTGTGATACGTATTGTCTTCGCCATGGGGTGGTCTTTGTTTCTGCCGCGCTCGAAATCCATTTGCTTGCTTGTCTGCTAGGTAGGCAGCATGTGTTATGCTCAACGCGTGCTGAACGCTAAGTTAGCAGACTCAGTACTTGCATTTAGAGTATTCCACACAAAGCGTGCCTCTGTACGTACTCGTGTATGAATAAGTAGATTAACATCTATCGAGAGACATATTACAGTAGATTGGCGAATATTGTCTACCTTAGTGCACCAGCGGTATAAGGTAGAAGAAATCCCGTCTAATTAGTACCATGCAGGAATGCCGAGCGGCCTTCAGGACACACCGTCAAACACAAAACTGCAGGCCAAATCGATTCTGACAAGTGGCATACTTTTCTCTGTTGCGTTGCGTAGTACCAGCCTAGAAACCGCAAGATAATGCACAATGTTATCAATGTATTTTCATCGCACTGATGATCCTTTAGGCGTAACAGCTAGAAATAGCCGGACATGCTTAAAAACTTCATAATGTGCACGGAGAAGAGGTTTATTCTGTGTGAAAGGGTTTGCACAAAACAATACCGGTGAAGTTTCAATGGAGGACCAGCATGCTTGGTGAATCATCGGTATATGTATCTTTCTATTATATTACAGTATAGAGAACTGATCGTACACCTAAAGGCCTGCTCGGAAATCGTTTACAACTTTATGCTGATAGATGGTTAAACATGAATATATTAGATCCATAAGTATGGAGATACCACCCATTTATTCGACTCACTTAAAACTGCTTGAAACAAGCCATTTTCATCTCTTACAACGACCACTTCCACATCAAAAACAGTTGTTTCCTTCAAAAGGCTGGCCACTTTTCTAGCCCTGGTATCACGCTTTTCGATGACCTTGTCTAGAAAATGTTTTTTTGCTGAGCTCGAGACCTTTTCATCAACTGTGACGTTGGAAATCAAACATATCTTTATCATTTTCAGTGTATCTCGTTGCAGCGGGCTTACTTTATTAACAAACAGAAACACACCGTTAATTAAGAGCAACAGCGGCATATAGTATCACCCAAAGGGTACAGTTATTGCAGACAAGAGATCTCTTTTATTTGCACTGTCCAGTTGGACTATATTGAAGTTCAAAAATATGTGGGCTGTCTTTCGTAAAAAGCCTACTCTATTTTTTGTTAGAATATCGGCTTCTGCATAAACATTTGAGTTAAGTAAACGCTTAAGTAGGTGGCTAACAGTTGCAGAAGTAAATGTCTATCGATGAATTATGTACTTCTAGGCTGATCAATAAATAAATATTTTATGTCTGATACTGCCATTAAGCGATACCTCAGACAAAGCAACCGAGTTTAAAAGTACGCTTATTCTCTGAGTACATCGTACTTCGTATACGTGCCAACACCCTTGAGAAAAAAAGAACAATCATCTTTTATCGTTCATTATGCCACAGGCGCAATAAATTGTTTTAAAAACTTGAATAGATATCCGAGTGTCCTTTTCTAGCCATAAAAAAACTGTTGAATATGGTTTTATCTTATTCTTCTACTTGGTCCCTTCTGGTTGTTCAGAGTGATCTTTTTAGCTTAGTAGACCCTTCAAACGATATTACGTAGCCCTAGCGAAGGCCATCGTAAAAGGGAGCAGCCTGAGTCAGCCATGAAGGAGTTTCGGGTGTCTCAAATAAAAGATGTTTGTTTCTCCGCATATCGCCTAATATACCTCTCTCTGTAATGCATGTAGGTATATATGTAATATTATAGGAAGCTGATAAACGTGTGCTTCCGTTTATGAATCGTTATGTTAACATGCAATTGATTGCTTCTTTTTACCATACACAATGATTTGCCTCATGGTAAAGTTTCGTTGTTTCAAATAAATGGGGCATATCAGTGGCTTTTGGATGAATGGATTTCCAGAAAAAAGACAAAGCAAGGTAAAAGTTGGCCGGAGCAATACTTTAAATAGTTATCTGTAGTAAAATAAGTAATATCTAGATGATCATATTTGGCTTCAATATGAGCTCTGTGTTTTTTGGAAATTGTTCTTTGCTTTGCTGTCATTCACATTTACGTACGATTGAAATAAACGCCATATTGCATTGTATCTTGCTTTTGACCCTGTGACGTATTCGATAGATTTCCTTGCGCTTTAAGTAAAATAAAATTAATTTTTTTAAGATGTTTGTATTGAAAACTAGTTTTCTTAATTTCTCAGATAGTGTCAAGATTTCAGATTGTTCAGTTTGGCATAGAGAAATAGTTTACTACGCCTAAGAATGATATAATGTATTCTCAGGACAAAATAAGTACAATATAATTAAAGGTATAATAAACATCATGAACTGCTAGTAATAAGCTTATTTCCTTATGTAACAATTTTCATATAACACACGATGCGGTGACTAGAGTTTTAGAGGTTCGCACAAGCTCTAAAGTATCGGCCTTCGACGGATAATTGTGCGTGTAGAGGGCATAAAAACAAGTAAAGTACATAGATGCTTGACTGAAACAGTAGGAATGGATTATGAGGCTCAATAAGTTCGGTTTTTAATACCGCTGCTACCTGGTATTTTTGTCTAAATGAGTTTTCATTGAAACTTAATGCAATGCACTAAATTCATAATGTTTTGAAGCATGGCAATAATCGTAAAAAAAAGACGCTTACTTCAGAATTAGTAAAGACATAATTCGATACCGATAAACTTATATAAAATCTTTAAGGTGACGCTTAACGCCAGGCGGCTAATTTCTCATTCTTCACATCGACAGACATGTTAAATAGAATGGTGGCAGAGTTACATCTGCATCTGCTTTCAGAAATAAGTGAACCAACCGAAGAAGCGTCCGAGAGCTAGCAGGAGAAGTGACATCACCTAGGCCCAAATTACGTGCTAGGTTTAGTTGCGGGTGACAGAATGCTCGCGCTTTTATCTGACAGGCAACGTAATGACCGGATGTCAACATGTAGCCGTTGTCAAACACGGCACAAGCAAACGCCATGCCTCGATCGGATTAAACCTCGCCCGTACCCGGTCTATTTGACCAAGAGGACATGTTAATGCGAAAAGTCAAATCATAATCTCGCTGATGTGTGTAGGTACGTAAGGCTTACTGTTGAGTTTCAGTCTCGTAACAAATAGGGTCTTACTAGAGCTTCGTTAGTATATAGAGAAGTAGAACCTAATGTAGTGTATTTGACACCAAACAGGCGGGTTTTAAAATCGGCGCGTATCTCTATGCTTAGAAAAGGGCAGCTTCCTAACCAAACTGAGCTTAATTTCCGGTTTGTCGCATGCTTTTTCGGCAAAGATCAACCCATTGAGACCTTAGGTACAGAAGCTTTCGCTAGTAAACGCGTATCGAAATTATGGGGTACAGAATTGCTTCAACACTGCCGTTTGATACGATGTTGAGAGTTCTAATCGAGGACATCTCGTAGGGATTCTTCTATCTCGTAACTGCCAGTGCTTCGCATACTACTGATGCTTCGTTTGGTGCTCTGGATACTACAAATAATAACGCCATATTTACCACAGCAAGGTCGACATGGGTTCGGTTTGCCTCTGGGGCTGAAAGCAGGTAAGACCCAACACGCAATTAACTCAATAAGATGTTTAGAATCTCTGACCATACATATCTACCAAATAAAGAACTTTTTACGGTAAGGAATACATAGAGAAAGGTAAATACGCATTGCACGTCCAACGAACTTACGTTAAACCCGTGTGCTGCAAGCCAGTTGAACGACAGCACAAAGAGGTAGCCGAAATCTGACGCGGCCAGCGCGCTCATATAATAACTAGAAGTTCGGGCGCGAAGGTGTGTCGATGTGAAGGTAAGAAACGATAGAAGATTGCCCAACAATCCGGCATAAATAGCTACAGCCATATAGTAGGTGTTAAAGATCTTGAGGGTATCAATAGTCCATGACTCGCGAATCAGGCTTGTGGCTCCACCTGCTACAGCTTCCCCGCTGGGACCGGCCAGCGTCCGGATGTCGCTTGCCGCCATATCATCCTGTAATGAACAACAATAGACGATTAGTCAATGCCGACGTTAGACCTTTACGTAGGAAAAGAAATCGCTTTAGTAAACGTTACAATAGTTCTTTCTCGTATATTAAGTAATGATGAAAATATATAGTTTTTATAAAGACACGGTTTATAAATATGGATTCGTCTTTCATACATCATCAAAAGATGTAGCAGCAAATATTTTCCCTAAAGCCAAGGCATAATTTATAAACGATGCGCTAGTAACTTGCCGAGGTTGGCACTTGTAGGTGTGGTCAGTATTGATGACAACAGCAATAACACGATTGATTGAAATTGAACTATGGTCTAACACGACAAGCAGCCGATAAAGTTTCAACTAAAATGGGGTTGAATCATGTTTTAGTTCGAATACATCGATTTGATTATCTTTGTCGTATAAAGATAAAAATCTTTTTTAGCGGTTCTGCAACGTCTAAGTTAGCCACTTTTGAGGAACGCTTTCAATAGATCTTCTATTGGGCTTTAAGTTAATAGCATATTTCTAATATTCTTCGAATTAGTCATCCGAAGATGGAAACAGCACAGGAAGAAAATAATTTCGAATCTTCACTACTTCAGAATTGAATTTGACTAGAAAACGAGGGACAGATGAAGTAGACAGTCTTCTCGATGCCGTTTCAGTGTAGAAGAACCCTCGGAATGTGTCACTTCTAGGTCATGTTGGAATTTTATTTTATATGTTGTCTAGTGACACGCGATACACTGCCAGGATAGTACGTTTTTCATCATATTAAATACTGATATGGGGGCAACTATGTTATAAAGGATTACCAATCAGCTACACCTTGTTGATATTTGCAGATTTATTTGAAGGAAAATGTAGAATATTCTCCATATAGGGAAAGCGTCCTTTCCTAACAAACGTCATGGGAAAAAAACTTGGAAAAATTGGCGTTCGCCTTTCAGCGTGAACGGGTCGCTGTAAGTATTGCATAACCGACGTCACCTCGTGTCTTTCTGCAATTTTTTTTATCTGATATGATTTTGTCACCATGGGGAGAGAACAGCGTTCAATGGGATTTTACCAGCTCCTACCCTGCCACTAAAAGATTTAATTTACAACATCAAAGAAGAAAGCACAAAAGCAAATAAGCACAATAGCGAAATAGGATAAGAGACTTGTTGACTGCTGGTTGAAAAGGGTTGTGCCAAGCACAATAAACGGGATTGAATTGTTTTATTGAGTTGCTTTGTACTTCGACCATTTTATTAGGAGAAAAAAGCGTCCTGCTAACGGGGCATATCGTATTTACAAGGCGTATTTGCTGATCTAAGTAAAATCTCGACGTGTATTAAGAGCACTGGACTCTCACCGATCTGCGTTTGGATACAATGTAACTAAAGGACGGCGTCGCGTATAACAAGTCACGTAAAACGCTTAACTGGGCACCTAAATATCGTATGCTTGAAGGGAAAATAAGCCTGTTGTCCATAATGATTAAGAATCGCAGAATTCGGCGCTTTGACATAGGCTCATGTGTAGCTTTGTTACTGCAAGGTGTATCCATTTCATTAGTCGATGAGATCGTTGGTAACTGATAGCTTCAGGTTGCAATGGATCAGACTATACACGTAGTATACATCTCATAGCATACATTTTAACTGACGAATAATACTAGTTTAATGATGTATATACCGGAATATATATATATGATGTATATATGGAACTTATGATCGGAAATAGCCAAAAATGTTCAAAGCAAATAAATAGCCTGAAAAACTAAGAACTTCAGTTGACTATTACGCCGTTTTACCGCAACTATAACTGTGCGCACAGTCAGCAGGACAGTCCATTTGGCCTTATGATAGATGGAATATCCCCTGTGAGCAGCCGCGAGGACCCTGACAGACAAAGCAATAAACGCAATAGAGTGCTATACCTCAGGGGTTCATCTAGGCAGACAGATCAACATGGAATTGCTACCGTTATCCGTGGATTGACACGAAAATTAAAGATCGGAGGCGAGCAGGTGTAAAAATAGAATAAAGGGCTTATCATCGATGATTTATGTATGGTAAAAAGAGCTTCTGAAGAGCGTCGTTCGAAATGACCACGTAGCGTCCCCCCATCGTATACATATCATTCCCATTCGTGTCTAGTAGCACGTTTTTTCTGATCATTTTTTGCTCAAGATGACGTATCACTACAATACGTAGCACCATCGTTTAGAGTCGCGCAGAGTCCATATCAGAAGCGAGAGCGTATACAGAACACACAGAGAATGCTGTACATCGTCTGATAAGCTCAGACATTCGGCCAGACATGAATACGGTGTCCAGCTTCATTCTTGATTTAGCTAAGAATACTCGCCCGGATTAGATTTGACGTAGGCAATTTTATTTTTACCTCGTATGCTCCCGGGACCCCAAACAGTTCATTTGCTGGCGCTTGAGTGTCGATGCCTGCTGCTATTTTTCTCTGCCGTTCCTTGCAATTCAGTATGTGCTAATCGCGGGCGAATTGGCCATCGTCCTGGCATTGGCCTAACATGCATGTTGCCTAGAGAGTGTTGTAAGTTATTCTCCGACATTTACTACTACTTCTGTTAGTATAGCATATATTCTAGGCTAGTAGAGAACTAACTAGTCCAATGAAGACGTTTGGCGCGCAAGGAAAGCTCTCACTGACAGATGACATTTACGCAATTTTTACCGATTTAATTCGCCAGCTCCTTAAGTCAGCGTGTTTGATGACATTGATTTTATCTGCTGAGAGAAATAGCATTTGATAGATTAAATGTTAAGTTGTGATCACGATCAGTAGTAAAGGCTCTTTGAAAGCCAACGTCACTTTAAAGGATGTTGCATTTGAATATATAGATACAGCGGCTGATATCGTGTAGAGTCTCTGGATCTTTAGAAGGAAGTTTCGTTTCCTCTGCTGATCTTTCTTGGTTACAGTGATTTGGTTTGCAGCTTCAACATAGGTCTTCCTGCCAATGAGTGCAGTTGCAAGCGACAATGGCCTGATTTCGAAATGAAGAAACCATAGCTTAATTTTTTTATCGGGTGAAACGTTAGTTTAGTCCGTTAAGTAGTGTTGCACTAGTAGTTTGCTATAGATTGATTCGACAATAAATTGTGTCAACTGCAATTGAAAACACCATATTTCAATAAAAAGATGTTGAAAAGCGTGCAGACAGCCACAGAGGTGTTGTCTGAATTTAGTAACTTTTTCAGTTGATTAGTAAAGACTGCCGGAGATTTATAATGTAATGATGCGCCTTCTACTTAAAACATGTCCTTCACACTAAAGTGTTTGTTCTGTCTAAAAATGTAAATCGACGCGCATCAGTACATATTCCGTATAGTTTAATAGTTGGAAGCTGAATGAATAGACCTAACAATTACTTCTAAGATTTGTCAAAAAGACACAAAAATGCAAATCAGCAGGGCTAACAAACCATCAGCCACGGCACACTGCGTTACTAGTTAATGCTTTCAATGATTTATCTTCCAACACGAACCCTACAACTTACTAGCGAATTTGAAAACGTACTTTCGATAAAGTTGACCTTTTTCTAGATATAAATTGGCTAATCAATTTTCGCGCCGGCTGTTTTTTAGTACACAGCTACTTTTGTCAATTTCCACTCACAGACTATAACTCTCATTGAACGAATAAAGGGTCTGCTCGAAGCAGCGTGGCCATCTAAATACATAAGATAGATTAAGCTTCTACTAACTAAATGCATCGCCAAGCTTTAGGTAAATAGAAGCAGTTAAACAATGTTACCATACTCTTCACAGGCAGTAATCTTGTATGATCCTCGAAAGACATTAGCATGTCCTTAGTTTTCGTATAGTCTTAAGAGACTGTGCTTCGTTTTTTTTTTTCATAAGAGGCTAACATGGGAAAACCTGAACACATGGGCTTCGATCCACAATTGCTCTGGAAGGGCTGAAAGTTTGATTTCTCGTGTCGGCTAAATCTGCGCTTTTAGTAACCCAATGGAACACCCTTGCCGCGTTTCAAAGTCGCTTCTTTGTTCGATGTTGTTCAGGGACGTTCGTGGAGGCTCTTAGTATACGTTCGGCTGAAGTATGCATCCCTCGGTCGATTGCTGGTTCCGTCAAACATGTTTGAATTAGAACTGGGGTTTTCATCTGAAGCGTTGCAGCTTTAGTAACTGAAACGTTTACTGTCAGTGCACTCGAAAAATATCGCTAGCAATTTGAGAACACGTTTCCCGTTTGACATTTATATACCGATCTACTGGCGCTGTGCCATATTGTGCGTAGTAATTTGTAAAGACGTAAAAGCTTGCCAACTTTCTCGAAGCAGTTTATCGGCTCGACCCCTACTCCCCTCTCCCTCCCCTTCACAGGTTCCCACCTGTTCGTTCTTATCGATGAATAAAGCGAACGATAAAAATTGGGGAATCTCATTTAAATGTTAACAACAGAGTTTGGGGTACAAAATCTAACTAACTGTTCTACTATTAGAGATAGAAGAATCTTTTTACAAGTATAGCAAAAAAAAATGCCAGGTATGCCAATCACCAACAAGCCTTCAATTCCGAGATATCCACACAGGAAGACTGTATCCGTTTATCGTTTTGACAGAATCTCCTTATTCTAAATGTTTGAGCTATGATGATGAAGTAAAGTTCCGATTGACAAACTCCTATGTGTCGGAGCTGAAGATTTGCATAATAACGTACGTGTAGGTTTTGATACGGAAGACTGTAGAGCCGAGTTGGCGAACTAGAAACTTGTTGTCTTAGTAAGCTGCTATAAGCTGATTTTATTATCGATATTGCAATTGCCGATGTTGTAACGTACATCTAGTAAATAATGCACATTGTCAGTATAGGGTGCGAGGGTTCTGCTATGCTCGTTTGCGCGAGCGGAACAGAATGCCCTCAGTCCCTCCGTCCTAGGCGCAGATACACATGCACATGTCATAAATTCATGATCAGAGATCAGACGAATTTAATATTCCCTAGAGATGTAGTCGAG